TTAAGTTTAACAGATGGGCCGAGCCCATTTGGACTTATATTAATAGGCTATTAGGGTTTGAAAACAGTATGAATTTTTCATTTATTCTTGCTAGCACAAGAAAAGAAACCCTAGCCTTCATTCTTGTTCTCTGTGTGGATCACCATTGGAGGCTGGACAATTTGACAGCTTGGATTGCAGATCGTGATCATTGGAGTTCAAGGAAAAACAAAAGAGTTTGTGGAATTCATCAAAGGTAACATTCTCATCACAGTTTCTATCTAAACACATTGCAGATCCTCGTTTGGGAATTGAAAATTCCTTTATTTTCGCTGTGCATGTTAAGTAAATTCCCAACACTACATACCCACCACGAGCCAAGTAGCAGACATTCTCACCAAAGGACTTCCTAGGGCGCAGTATGAGAACTTAATTAGCAAGCTTGCCATGAGTGATATATTCATGCCAGCTTGAGGGGGAGTGTTAGAAGATTTCCTAGGATTTTTGTAATTATGTATTATATTTGATTATGTGCTATTTTAGGTAGTTGAGAGATTTGTGAGATTTACACATATTTTAGGAATCAGTTTTCATTTTGCTTTAATTAGGGAGATTAGTTACCCGGTTTGGATCCTAGAGAGATCTATAAATTCTTATGTACAGAAGCATAATAAAATATACCCTATTCCTCATATTTTCTCGTTCTCTGCTTTAAATTGTATAAGGGAAATCATTAACATTGTCTATCCAGACACAACATCAGTCTTTGACTATCACCAGAATAAATTTCCACAGCCATCGCAGCATTGCAGGATGTGTAATGAATGAAGAAATCAGAATTTTTCCTTCCTCTCTCTTTTTTTTCTTTCTTTCTTTTATTTTATTTTCTAACTGCTAGTTCATACTCTTCAAAATTTAATAAATGACGTTTCAATCAAGAAGAATCTGATTCGTGCTTGTGTGAACTCCACTTTAGTGGCAACTGAATAAGTTTCAACCTTAAATATAAGTTTCTCATATAGTTTCTTTCTGAAATGCAAGTAAAACTTTCACACTAGAGTTGTCTTTGAATGCAACACCAACCTTGAGTAGATTCCTGGGAAATTTTCTTTTGAACAAGTTCCCCTTCGTTCCTTTTTCTTTTAACTCTGCTTGTAAGAAGTGCATCTACAGTCTGATTTCCATCTGATACACAGCTAGCACAAAACAAAAAAGGAACCATGACTTCTATAATAACAAAAGGATATCATAGAGTTCACATATTCATACAGGAAGTGTACTAAATATTACCAACCTGAGAGCTAAAACTGGCCGTGGAATTCCACAGCATTCTTTAAAACTGTTTAGCACTTTAGACTGTGACAAATACAATGCAGCTTCAAGTCCAGGGATATATAACATAACCATCTTTGAGATCAGGGGCTTGTTCTGCATATCAGGAGAACAATTATTCAGCACAACTTTGAATAAATTCACTACAGTTGTTTTGGGTTTTTGAGCATATTTCATAAAAGAAATAGGCTGCTGATTTTCTTCCGGTTCTTATGTTCCAACAAGATAAATAAACAGGTGCCGCCATACAGACATGTACAAAAGTAATATGCAGATAAATATCAAACAAAAATGAGAAAGGAATAAGGGGAAAGGAATAAGCTCTTACTTTTATAAAAACCCATGACGGCATGAAACATTCACCAAGCACCCAGGTAATAAGTCCTTGGAGGTCCTGCAGCAGCACGTCAAACGAATAAATTTTATTATAGTTTTAAAGGGTACTGATTCCCAAGTTACAAACGTAAAATATAGTAAAACAAAACATACATGAAGATTCAAGGTTGAGTTTGCTTCCGGCTGCTTAAAAATGACATCAGCTCTTGCCTGCATCACACCATATCTCATTTTTCATACTGAATTGCAAGAACACGATACAAACAGCTCAAGCGTAAATTATCCACCTAGTATCCTATATAATTTACTAATTTAGAGGTTCGGTTGATCACAAACAGTAAGCACCCCAATTCATATGCTTTCTAACATACAGGTTTCTAATCATTACTTATTATCAGCTGCAACAATGGAATTGAAAACAAAAATATAATTACAAGAATTATTGATAAAAAAATCTAAGGTGGTTAACTCCAAATGAATTTGAGGAAGCGTTTCAAAGAATTAAAAATAAAAGGTTTACACTTTAACAGCGTTGCATAACTATGCTAAATAATCAAAAAAATGTATAACAACCACATCAAAATTTTAAAAATAAATGGATAAAAGAATCCCATAAAAATTCACAAACGGCTTTATAAGAATTTATGGGGTAGTAGAACAAGAGACAACACCAAAAGAATCTGGAGTAAAAAATAAAATTGACCTCTGGGCCATAGACATCGTAATAGGCTTTTGTACTGCTGTTGTTAGATTTTCCTTCATGGGAAGCTTCAGTTTTCTGGTTTGGAGAACTCATGCTCTAGACACGGTAATGTTGCAGCCAGTCCTTGTGTTGAATGTGGAGGATTATAAAATTAAATTTAGGTTAAGGATGTCACACTTAAAAAGATTGGGGACTCCGGTAGGATTTTACACTAATACAGAGGAAAATTCTGTAAATTGGTATTATTCAGAAAAGTTGTTGCAGAAGTTCTCGACCTATGTGAATTTGTGCAGTTCAATTGTTTTTTGACATTTCCATCCTCGCCATTCATTTTGTAGTAATTTCGTTCTCAGGTTGGATTGTGTGTACATATATATGGCACAATTATCGACTTTCTATAGAAGTTCTTCTATTAATCAACGCTTTACAGCATGTTTGATTTGACATGCTGACAAACAAAATTTTCACCTTTTTATCTCGATTATATTGTATAGTACTATTCAACGCTTCCACCAAACATGCATAATGGTAAAAAGAACAGAAGGTAAAGTTGACAATGATATAACTATCTATAGGTAGTTTAACAAATACCAGATGCTTTTTTTCCTGCTGTATATTCCAAACCACCAGAAGAGCGTAAACATCGTTCTTTTGAGAAGGACCTAGTTCTTTTACATGATATAAAAATCTTTATTACCCAAAAGAACAATACATAAAACGAAATCATTGTTGCATGTTACAATGAGAACTTGCCAAGTCCGTGCATAAATCATCCTACGCTAAAAGTTATATCAGAGTATCTTAGAGGTAAGCCGTACAAGTCCACATGCACGACCAAGACTTGAACCAGCATATTGCTTTCTGAAGAAATGCCTGAAGTCAGATGACAGCAGTAAAATTCTCAAGTCTCGATCCGAAATTAAACTTTTTGTACCTTAAGTTTCCTCTCATCTTTCATAAAGCCAGTCTTCGAAGCACAAAGAAAGAAGAAAAGCATTCAACTCCTGTCAAAGACAATAAGTAAATCGTAGCAACTTCTTTTTTTTACTTATAAGAATAAAGTAACTAATCTAAACATCCGAAACATGTCCTATATGAGCAAATAAGATCTTGAGCAACTGAATAAAGACTGTACTTAGTTATCCACATTGCGTCCTGTAACAGCAATATCCAGGACCATTCATGTCATAACAGTAGAATTCAGTCTCCTCGAAATGATATTTGCAACAGAAATGGATATACAACGATGCAGGTCAGACTCAATAATCAGAAAAATTATAATCAAGTAGGCCTCAGCCCGGTTTATTCAAATGCAATCGATATTATGCGACAAAACTGCAACAACTAAACAACAAATAAGAGCTTAAAGGAACAATAAATACAAAGCTATTTATTCATCAACTAGCTTTTTCTCTTTTCCCATCCCCAAAAAAAAACGATCATTTAAAAAATGAATTTACTAAATAAATAAATAAAAGATTAAAACAATGAGATATATGACAAATTAATATCTGCAGTAATCCATATATACTTCTTGTTACAAATAACCATGGCGGTAAGACCCATTTATTTTTTTAGTTTTGTTTTTCGTCTCTGTGACTTCACTTCTATCCTTTTAACCCCTTCATTTAACTTTCCCATTTTATATTTTTCCCGGGGACGGGAGAAATTAGCACAAAGAGTTATATTACAGCTAATGTTTGTCATCAAGCAGTTAGATGAACATGGCAGTCAATCTTTACGCACTACAATATAATGACAACTATAGTAGATAAGTATGCCAAATCTATTCGATGTTCACCTCTGTATCATAAACCTACAACCAAGTTTATAGTAGCTTGCATGAAGAGAAGTTTTTATCTTACCAAAAAGTTTACATTACCAGAGGACATAAATTGCGAGTTAAGAGAATTGGTTAAGAAATGCAAAATGATGAAAAATGTACTCAATAAGCAAGGAGAATTGGGAAAAGAAGGAACATCAGGCTTATCACAAAGTACAAATAGGTTTAAAAGACGAAAATGAAAAACTGGAAAGTGCAAATCGAGGGGCACATTCTGTTAAAGCAGCATTATTGAACTAAAATGCACATCATCATATTCAGAAATATTAGAATTTTCAGCAAATAATGCCAAAACCATAAAGGAGGGATTAAGCCAATTGATCCTATATTTAGTATCAAAAGATACCAGATAACATGCTACAGTAAATTTAATTGAAAATAAGATGTATGTTTAGCTCAGTTTAATATAATTATGAAGAAAACTACCTTCTAGACATAATAATAGGTTACATACATATTTGCCAATATTATTAAACGACCACCATGAATGTGGCCCAATATTATTTGGTATCTAGAAATCAGTCAATGTTAACTTCGTAGAACTTGCCAACTACCAACTAAATGACAACCCCAAGAAAGTAGAAGTACAGGAAGCTGCTAATAGAGAAGCGCGTGTAAATGCAGATGGTACCCAGGGACAAAAATTGGGAAAAAGAAGAAGAAAGAAAAGACTTAACATCGGAATGCAAAACAAAGGACTAGTTTGTGAGTGATAAAACAAAAAACACATGTTTCACTTCAAGAACATGTCAAGGTTTCCAAGGAAGAATCACAAAGTCCAATTATAGACATCGAAAATGAACGCAAAAATTCAACGAAAGACAGAGACCTATAACAAGTAAAAATTAGAAATATGTTTGTGCTATAATATTGCAGGTGAATAACAAAAGCAATGCTTAATACAGGAACATGCAAACTTTCCCACACCATAAAGAGATAGATCATGTTTAACTCCAACTATCACGTATCTGGAATTTAAATTGTAAAATTTTCATATATAAAAAAACGTAACAGCCAATTTTCCCCATCAAAACTTTTTCTAGTAATGCTTCAATATTACGCATAAATATAGGTTATCAAACCACAAAGCACAAGTTTAAACTTGTTTAACATTCTTCTGGGAACTAACAGGCGTAGATGTTAAACCTTGCAGGCTTGCACACTCCTATAAAGCTTTGTGTACTTAGAAAGAAATGGATGCATCATTTAACTTAGCATGTTAGCTGAATTAAACATACTATTAGTCTAATCTAAAAGACATAAGACTAAGAATAACATAAATATTGCGCAATTAGAAGTGTCTAAGGGGGGGTTTTGTCGTCTTCTTAAAGAAAATATGCAAGAAGAAGCTACCACTATCTTGTGGATTTTCATATATCCAGGTCCAGTTTCTTTTAATTTCTCTTTTCTTTTTCATAATTCTTTAAGCAAGGATACTGATTATTAAAACCAAAAAACATTATTTTTGAGAACCAATTGATAAAAACATTAACCATAAAATGAAATCTACAATAAAATCTGCAATAGGATTCAATTTCTATAACACAAAAAGCAAAACTACACAACAAAAAACAAGTACTAATTCATCGCAATTCATACCTCTTCAAAATTTGATTGCAACAAAACAAAATGACAAAGAGATCAATAAGATCGTCTCATCATCCGCTTTGGCTTCTTCACAAAACTTAACCTTAGCTTTTTAAGAGTTCTTCTCTTCCTGGCCATCTTCTCGGGCAGTGTCTCCCTTTTCTTCTCCTTCTTCACTGCAGTAGGCTTTTTCTTCACAAACCTAGGATCTACCTTATATTCCTTCGGCTCCACAGCTACCCCACTACTCTCGGCTTCTTTATAAAGTGCATTAGCTTTATCTACACGTCCATACGCGCACAACTTTCCCATTAACAAGTCGTAAGTCTTAACCCCCGGTTTGCACCCATCCTCTTTCATTTTCGCAAAAACACTCATAGCATGATCAATCCTCTCGATCCCACACAATATCTTCAAAAACTCATAATATGCCTTCTTATCCAATGCATCCCCATATCCAGCAGATTTCGTTCTATCAATCATCTCATCACCTTCCCCCACCCTAGCTGCCTGATATAAACTCTTCGTGAGCACAAGAAATGTAGTTTCGTTTGGGTAACACCCCCATTCCCCCATCCTATAAAACAGTTTCATTGCATCCTCGGTTTTCCTAATCTTACATAAATTGGTAATCAACACATTGAATGTCTCCACATTGCGAGGAACACCATGTCTTTCCATCTCGATCAACACATTCTCCACTTCAGATTGAAGCCTAAACGGATCCTTTTTCCTACACAACTGACAAACGCAATCTAAAATTGCATTGTAAGCAAGTGTACCTATCTCAAACCCTCCACGATACATCTCACTGGCCAATCTTTTTGCTTCATCCAATTTCCCATCAACACACCAGCCTTTAATCAAAACATCACAAATGTACTCATCCGGGAAGAACTCACTCGACAAACTCTTAACCATTTTTTCAGCATAACTCGCATATCCATGCTCACAAAGACTCGAAACAATCAACTTCAAAGAATCCATACTTCTCAAAAACCCATGATCCTTCTCCATACTCTCAAACAATGCCACAGTTTGTGCTGGTCTACCAGCCCGAACAAGCCTGTCTACTAGGGCCTCCAGACATTTCGACCCAGCTATTCCATGGCCATTGACCAGCACTTCATGGGTAGCCTTAAAATCCTTCCTTCTTCCAAAGAAATCAACAAAATAAGAGTAAACCTCATCGGTGGGCTTGAAACCAATCCTCGACTTTGCCCATTTGAGTAAATCAATGATGCCGCGGCCAGCATCAGGGGAGATATTAAGAGTATTGAGGATCAAAGAGGGGGTGACAGTAATGTGAGAGAATGAAAGGTCAAGTCTTTGTGGCAAAGGAAGAGGTTCTGAATCTGGGTCTTTCAGAAGCTCGCTAGAAAGGCTTTCTGCTACACGATTTTCTTCTGGGTTTTCTTCAAAGGGCTTTGTTCCATTGGCTGTGCGTCCAGTTTGCACAGAAAAGGGTCGAAGAAAAAGGGGTTGTAGGGAGAGGAAATGCACCTCAGTAGTGGATGAGAACGTCTGGAAAAATGGTTGATGCGGCTGCGGTGGCGGTGGAAAGTAAGAGCGATAAGGAAGTAGAGAATTGGAGTGAGTGGAGAAGTAACGGAAGAGGAGTTTACGCAGGTGAACTGAAGATAGTGGAACGGTGGGTTTAGGCATTTTTAGTGTGTGCAGGGGCGGAGCCAGGAAAGTAACTCAGTAGGGGCACAATGTATTGATGTTGAATGTCGAGTTTTCGTTTATTGGATTTCGTTTCTGCAATTGAAAAGGAAAAAATGAAACAATATCATCACAAGCATTAAAAGGAATCAAAAATGATTTTTAAAGAGAATTCCTATTTTGCAATTCTTAACCTTGGAACCAGTGATGTGAATCACATTATCTAAGCTTATCAGATAATAAATTGAGTTGATACAAAGGAATAAAAATCAAGAAAATAATCATAATAATACCAAAAAAAAAAAAGACCATAAGTTCAGAATAGATGTGACCAGTGGAGGACCCAACATCTAAGCTCAGCCCAGGCGGATGTTGCGTCAACAATCAGCGATCGTAAGAGCGATATCGTTTATTAATATTTAATTATATAATATTAAAAATTATTCAATATATATGTAAATTTCCAAATCCAAATTTCCAATTCCCCCAGTTTGAAACCCTAAACCCGAAATCCAATTTCAACTCCAATTCCAAACCCTAATTCTAATTCCAATTCCAATTCAAATTTAAATTCCAATTCCAATTTTAATTTCCCCCAATTCTAATTCATAAATCATATTTCAAACAAATTGAAAGCTATCACAAAATCACGATTTTAAAACTCATAAACAGATAAAAAAAAAAAAGCAGAAAAAAAAAACGACGGGCAGAACAAAAATGAGAAAACTCACTCACGGGTCACGGCCTCACGGAGTCGGCGAACTGATGGACGGTGGTGTGCAGAAGATGGTCGGGCTGTGGCAGAACTCGGTAGCAACTGCGACTGCACGGCAGGCGTGAAGAGGCGTGAGCGGCGGCGTCTCAACTCTCAAGGCTGAAGCAGTGAAGTTTCAGTGTTTCACGAAGGAAATGATACCAATTACTAAATGCATTTGATTTGCTGGACTAGGACATATATATTAAGTATTGGGCCCAAAAATAAATGGCCCAACCCAATAAAAAAAAAGAAAAGAAAAGGTATGGTCTGAGCCTAAAAACAAATGGCACAATAGGCCAACCCATAAAAATAAAAGGAAAAAGTTTGCTAGGCTGGGCTGGTAGCAACAACCCAACCTTATGACAAAAAGACGAACCAGCACGCAGCCGCCCCCCAGCTGGGTGCTAGGTTTGCCACTGGTTCCTCATAATATAAATTAAAAAAATCAATAATCAAAATCTACATACCAAGAGGTTTGAAGTGTCAAAAATTTATTTTTCTAAAATTATGATTGATATATAACTTATTTTACCCTGGAGATGTAAGTTTATATAAACAAATTCTTCTCCCCTTATGTGATTATCTTTAGTCCAGGAAATTAACTTGATATTGAAGTGGATAAATTTTCGTTCAGGTCTCATCAACGCTTATCTTCTTTTTAAAAAAAAAATAAGAAAATCTCACTTGTCACACATTTAACAAGAGTAAACTCAATAAGTAGGCAAATTAAAGATATAAATATAAACACTCACAAGTTTCCTATATCATGTATAAAAAGTAGATATCAAGGAATACACACTTAAAAATAGATAAAAGTTGTGGATTCTTAAGAAATGTGTCGTTAAAAGTGATATTTGACAACCTTATAAGCTCGAAAAATCTTTGCCAAACATGCTTAGAC